AAGTTCAAGGAGTGGATGTACCGTTGATTTATGGTAATTTTAATGCTTTAAAAATGAGATTTTGCCCGTGTCATAAACATGTTTTAGTAGATGTGATGGTATTTTGCTTGAATTTTACAGTAAATATGTCTTGGAATAGTTGGCACTAAAATGTTGCAGCACTGGGGATTTTTTGTGTTTTGACAACTGGACCTACGAACCGTAGGATGATCTACGAGTCATAGAAATGAATCATAGTTTGAAGTGTCGATTCTGGAGCTAAGTGTAAAGCGACAGAAGACACTTACGAGCCGTAGTAGCTTATACGAGTCGTACAATTGAATCGTAGAAAAGTTTAGAGAGTTTGAGTTTCAGTACCTTAATGACGGTTAGTCAGGACGAGTCGTAGAAAGCTCTACTGGCGGTAGATCATGCCCGTAGAAATTTCTCTTATATTGAAGGACAAGTTGTTGATTGACAAAAGATACCTACAAACTGTAGGAGTTCCTACGAGTGGTAAGTGTCAACTGTAGAAACGATTGCCCAAGTCGGTTTTCCTAGATTTTCTTTTCCTACTTTATTTAGGATTGTGTTTTCTATAAATTTAGCTGTATTTTTTGTTTTTGAGTGGTTAGACGTTTTGAGACTTTTCTTTTTGACTTTGAGAATTAACTTGCAAACATTTTTAGCATTTAATTCTTAAAGTGTTGGTTTATAAAATTTACTTTTGTTCATCAATTCAAGATTCTAGATTTCATCTACTCTAATTGTAAGTTTGTTGTTTATTCTATTAATCATATTATGAATTGTGATCACTCAAGCTTGAGTAGCTAAATCCATAATTAGGGTTGTGGGAACCATGAGTAATTAACAAAGTAGACCTAATAATTAAGTAATTCTTGAATAGTGTTTATGCATGTATTGTTGATCTCTTTGTTTTGAATTTTTAACAGTGCGCAATGTTAGAACTCTCATGATTCCTATTGACCCGATCAAGGAAGTAATGAATGGGAAAAGAGATTAAACAACGAGGATTTAGCATTGAAATCCGCTATCTAATAGCCTAACCCAAATATGTGAGGGCTAATCTGGGGTCAAGGGTAAGCGTTAGTAAAGCATACACCGGTAGACCGACTAAATTGAGTGGTGAAATTCTCTACTTGGATGACCAATCACTTAGGAGATACCTAACTTACCGACTTCTCATGACAAAAGGGTTACTATAGTAAGGTTTACTGCGTTAAGAACTTGTGGGGAACACATATGCCCTAGTTTCATCTCATATTGATATTACAAACTGCAAATCTTTTTACTTGGTTACTTGTTATTACAAATCAATCAATAAATATTTTTTCTTACAAAACCCCCCTTTTTATACGGAAATAATCTGACTAAAAGCACAATCAATGGTAAATTGGCCTAAGTTTAGACCATATTCCTCGTGGCATCGACCCTAACCTCTGTTAGGTTCTTTATTTGACAACAACCGCTTATACTTTTTTAGGGAGGTGTAATTTGGGTGTATCACTACTCTATGATGTTTAAGCTTAGTTGTGCTTTCTCCATGTATGATGTTATGTTTATGGAAATGACTATTTTGTTGGAATTGAACTTAGCACCGAGAGAACTTTGAGGTGGAGATTCAAATAGGGTAGTCTCTAGTAGCAACCGCTTGTTCCAAACTACATGTCCTTGTATGATTAACTTAAATGGCCTAGAGATTGGATCCACATATAGCACATGATATGATACAGAATTCTACCTTGACAAGTAGACTCTCCCTTCTCGATGTGGGACTTACATCGAATTCCATGTTATAACTCGCAGGGTCTATTGTCAGTTAAAGCTAATATCCCACAAAATAAACTAAATTTTCCTTAAAGATTTTATGAAGCTTTTATTCATGATCTTAATATGCATGGACCATGTCAACATTTATGATGTTCATTAAATGTTTTATTATGTTTAGCTTAGTCATGCATAGTATGTTCTCTATTATGTGCTCTTATGATCATGTTTCATGTTTTATTGCATTCTCATCATACTTAGTACATTTCATGTACTAATGCATGCTTGTGCCTATATTTTTTTATTAATATAGGGCGTGACAATTCCTCTCCCTTTGTTCGTGGCTAGGTGATCGCTTTAGAGATTTAAAATTTTGGTGAGTCCTCATACTAAAAGAACGATGATGTCTTTATTGCTTTCTTATGTCTTTATGTTTTTGATGTTGTACGTGGGTTACCGATTACGTCTCGACCACTCTTTGATGTAATAAATGGCTTGTCAAGACTTTGATAGACTTTCGCTTAAATGTCAAGCTCTTTATTTCATATGTGATTTCTTGCTTTTCTCTATTATGTTGTGTATATACATATCAAGTGGCTTGTTTAGGGCCTCTCGGGGTCTTATACTCCATGTCACGTCTAGGGTGTACTTTGGGTCGTGACAAACTTGGCATCAGAGCACAAGGTTTTAGAAAAAGGTCATAGGAAGTCTGAAAAGCCACGTTGAGTAAAGTCATGTTCATAATTATGAAGCATGCCACATTTATATATAGGAGGCTATAAAATGTTTAGAAAACTTCACTTATTTCATTACTCTAAAGTCGTTCCATAGAGTTTATCTCAATAAAGATCTTTCTCTAAATTGTGTTCGATCATTTTCAGGATATGGCCCCTCGAAGAGCTCATGTGAGAAGGAATGCGAGCAATGATAAAGTGGAGCTCGAGGTTCCTTAAGTTCCAAATTTATTCTTTGGCCGAGCAAGTGGCTCATGCCGAATTTCGAGTCATTTTTCAAGTATTGGCTCAATCCATGATGACCCAAGCTAATAGAGAGGCTAATACTCATGTGAACCTAAATGTGGGTACGAAAACGGCAAGGATAAGGGAATTTACTAAGATGAATCCTCTGGAATTTCATGGGTCTAATGTTGTTAAGCATCCTCAAGAGTTTATTGATGAGGTGTTAGATGCATAGGAAAAGATCCAAATACCCTTTTAAAACAACTGTCTGGCAGCCCTACGATTGTGACCTACAGTCCGTAGGAATTTCTACAGCCCATACGGGGGAATCGTAGAACCAACTTCAGAAACCCAAAATTTAATCATTTCCCACGAGACCATTTTACGATCCGTAGACCACATCCATAGAACATAAGTTTCACTCCAAAATTTCACTAAGTCTGGAACCTTTCTACGAAACCACCGAACAACCCGTAGAACCAACTATGAACCGTCAAAACCTTCCATAGACCTGAGGTCTTAAACCAAATCTTTGGATCCATCATATGAGTGTCATCTACCCGTCAAAGCTACTACAGTTTGTCCTGTCAAGTCGTAGGTCAAACTTCAAAATCTTGAAATTCTAAAACTCAACCCAACCTTCTACGATTGCCTTTCTACAGCCCGTAGGACTTCCTACGATCTGTAGATTGGACTTGTAGTTCACTGTTTCAGCCAATTTTCTGCATTTTTCTTTCCTTTTTTTACTTTCCAACTTCCAAGGTGTTACATTTTGGGTCTTGTTGGTTACCCCAGATCAGGTCTTGGGTTCCAAATTAGAGTGGGTCCCTTATGACTCCGAAGGAGGTTTCTCTCTATGGAATCTCCTGCATGATAATGAATGTGTGACTATAAAGTTCTTTAGAGTGTACCATCCGTGGCTCGGGGTCCAGGCTCACTTTTAATAGCAACAGCTCGTGGTTTGGGCATATGTTTATTGGTCACGGTTCAAAGTGCAGGCACAGTTCTCGATGGTTTGGTTCTATTAGGGTATGTGGGGTGCCTTGGTTGTGGTTTGAGGTCCAGATATCGGTTTGTCCAATTCTGATATATCCAATCTTAGTTAGGAATAGTGTTAGCTCTTTTGTGCACTCATCAGATTTGTGGGGGTCGGTTTAGGTTATTTTATTTTTAATTATGCACGAGTGTACCTTCTGGGCTTATGGGGTCCAGTTAGATTATAGTTAGTTGTTTTACCTTATCGCTCTATTTCTGCTAGATTGTCGAGGATCATAGTTAGAGTTTCCACTATTGTACCATTTATCTAACCTCTAGTTACAATTTAATTCCCCGTTTTTCTTTATGTATTTGGTTTCCAAGCTCATTCGGCCTATGATGCCTACTGGTACTTGTTATCTCGGTACCCATGCTACGCTCTGTATCTGTTTTTCCTGATGTAGATTCGAGCTCCAGTCGACAATGGTGATTATGGGTAGCAGCGGGGACTTCTGGAGATCGACGGTGAGTTGATGACGTCCTAATTTGACTCATTTTCGTCTGTATATAGTTTTTGGCTAGTCTTTTATATATAAGACAAGTTTGTGCTTATTTTACTCATTTCGGAGGTTGTACTCACTTTAGTAGCTTTGTACCATCATCCAACATGTTGTGGGATAGTATCATGTACTATTGTTTAAATATTTATGTCATTTCTCCTTTCCGTTGTTATTTCTTTGTTTGGCTGATTGTCTTTCTGTTGTTTTAAGGTTTCTGCCCAATATGCTCGTTACTTGTCGTTAAGAGATATGGATTGACTTACCTACCAGTGGGTTTTGATATGTGTCATCATAACTCGAGTTTTCAGATCGTGACCCCCTTTCCCTCTCCATCTCTTACAAATAGTAATGTATATAATTGCCTTTTCCAATAAGTATGAATAAATCGCATTTATAGTATAGTTTTTGATCTAGTATCTTCTAATTTGCTTCTTCTTCCTTTTCCTATTTCCTATTAATAATCTTGGTATTGAAAGTTTGCAACAAATATTTTGCCAAAATAAGGGCAGTGTGGAGGAATTTATATAGACAATAAAGTTGTGATTCGAAATTTAACTTTTAAATAACAACATAAATTATGTTCTAAATAACATGGTCCATATAAATGTTGAACCAGGAACACACTTTAATATTTTACATAAAAGATACATTAATATTGTAAACAATTACATAGTTCCTCTAAATATAGAGGTGAAATTTTATTATCACAAACATTATAATTGAAGTGATCGAGCTCAAAACAACGTACCATATTAAACATAAGTTATTTGACTAGGTGTAGAGATAATTTTTAGGGACAAGGCAAAGAGCAGTTTTCTTATTCATGATAAGTCCAGGCAAACCATCTGTATCAATTTCTTCTTTCATCATTCCATAAGGCAACTCCCAATCAAATGCATACAGAAGATTTGAAAGTATAAGATTTACCGTTGTAACACCGAGTGAAATACCTGCAGAAAGACAAATTCCAGATTTAATCTTTATAATTTTATAATTGTGAGTTCTTTGAAAAGTATGGGTTTGACAGATGATTTTTAAAGGGAAAGTTATATATAGTCTATTAACATGCACGAAGTCTATATACACAATCAGGGGCGGAGCCACCTTGTACTAAGGTCCGAACCCCTTCGGCGGAAAATTATATTGATTATACATGGTTAAAATAATTTTTTATGTATATATAGTAGATGTCGAACCCCCTTCGGCTACTTCGTGTGTCTATTTCTACAGATTTTGAACCCCCTTATTGAAAATCCTGACTCCGCCACTGTACACAATACATGTAATAATAATATTATTGTGTATAATAATATATATTATATGTATAGTATACGCATATTTGATATAATGTATATACTACACATATGATTTGTACATATTTAAATTAAATAGTTCAAATGGTTCAGGCTCGTAGATCTCATTTTTGAATGCTATTGCTAATATTTTTCATGATTTTCACATAAAATTTATAATTTAAATTTAAAAATTGTGGAATTAATTGGACTTATCATGTAAATTATAAATCTACCACGGAATACCTGGGCAACCTCTCCGGCCTGCTCCAAATGGAATCAACTCAAAATTTTGGCCTTTGAAATCAATATCGCTATTCAAGAATCTCTCAGGTATAAATTCTTCTGAATTTTTCCATATTTCAGGATCCCTTGCAATTGCCCATGAGTTCACATGAATTATTGTTCCTGACTGAATTTCATACCCTTCTAAATTGGATTTTTTCATTGATTTTCTTGGCCCTAGAAGTGGACCTGGTGGATATAATCTAAATGTTTCTTTTATCATTGCTTTAAAATAAGGCATGTTTTGAATATCATCTTCATTCACAACGCCTTTGTTCCCAATTGATTGCCTGATTTCTTCTTGAACTTTCTTCATGACTTTTGAATTTTTCATTAAGGCTGTCATTGACCATATTACTGTAACTGCGATAGTATCTGATCCACCAGTTAATATATCCTATATAAAATAAGAGTAAAATGGAAGAAATTGTCGAATCATGAGAAATTCTCAAAAGTAGTGTAGCTTATACATGTATGTGAGTTTAACTTGTGTACACCGACAATATAGTATATCTAATCGGTAAATTTAGAAAATAAGATTTAAATTTATGTATACTTTTCAATATAAAGTTTTTTTACACAATTATGTATACTATCAATATATAGAATTATTGTTTTATCTACAATATGCATATATTGGTTTTAGACATATATCGTTGATTACTTACCATGAAAATTGCCTTTATGTTGTCCAAAGTAAGACCAGTTGAAGTTGATTGCTCTTTCCTCAATTGAAGCAAAAGATCAAGAATATCTCCTTCCATTGATTTTGGCCTATTGGGATTGAGATGTTGGTTAATGAGTTCTTCAAAAAACTCATCTAAATCCTTGAAATTCTTCTCAAGTTTTTGAATATTTCCAAATAATTTATCAAGCCAACCAAACAAAGGAAAATAATCAGAGAAAAAAAAATGTGTCATCATATCTTGTGTCATAGTTAAAAGTTCATCAAATTTCCTCTTTTCATGTGCTTCTTCATCATACCTAATGCCAAAAGCAATTCTACAAGTAATTGTACGTGTTAGAGTAATCAATATATTACTCAAATTTATAATTTGTGAAGCGGTTATTTGTTGAGATATTTTCTTGATCATTCTCAATACTTCATCTTCACGAATCGATCTAAAAGATTGTACTTTCTTGAGACTGAGCAAATGAACAACACAAAGTTTTCGCATTTCTCTCCAATAGTCATTGTAAGGTGCAAAGGCAATATCATGACCATTATAAGAAATTTTTTGTTGGCCAAGAAAAGAGGGTCTACTACAAAATGTTAAATCTTGTATTTGTGTTACCTCTTTTGCTAATTTTGCTGAAGAAATTACTACCATAGTAGCAGATCCAATTTTCAATGAGAATATTTTGCCATATTTCTTGGAAAGTTTCCGAAAATAGATATGAGGGTTTAAACTATCATATTGATGCAAATTACCAATAAAAGGTAGTCCTACTGGACCTGGTGGCAGAAAGGTTGTTCTACTCATTTTGGCTTTATGAAGAAGAAAAATGAGAATAATAGAAAGAGATACTGAGAATAGAAAGAACATCATTTTGTTGTCCACAACTGCACAAAATACTAGTCACTTTAAATGTCTTCTTATATATAAATAAATGAATCTTATGAGTAGTCCATTAGATATTACTATAGAAGCAAAAAATCATATTTAGTGGCAATAGATTTTCTTTTTAACGATAATATTTATTACTACTGATCTAGCTCCGCCTTAGCATACCATCTTTAGCAAGATAGTAGACTTATTTAGTCGACCATTAGGATGGTTAGGAGGTTTGGTTTATGTCCTTCTCCTTTGAATTTTTTTGCTATTTTAATAAATACGAGGTAGAAATTAATGTCAATCTGCTTCCTCACTCTTGTCATGCGAGGTGAAAGTCTCCTTGAATTTATTTTCTTCAAAAACACACCTAAATTATTCCCTTTTTTTGAGTTTCATACCTAAACTATTGAGAGTGTGAATTTCATACCTCAACTATCACTTATTAGTTTGAGAAACACACTCACAATAGTTTAGATTATCTCTTTTAATCATTTTTTAATATATATATAAATATAAACAAAATCTAATCGGTCCACGTGTTCACGTGAATTTTAGACGATACTTTAAATCAACCCCCACCTATCACTCAAGCATTTGCGCAATTACTTGTTAATTAAGTTCTCCCTCAACCAACTATGAAAACCACTTAACTTCAATATAATGTATAGAGTTATGAAATTTAAGCTATTAATTTGAAAATCGTAGTTATTACTTAGTAATAGCCATAAAATTCAAATTTCATAGCTATTTACAAATTCGTAAAATATTTTAGCCACAAAAGTCAAACTAGCAAAGCTAATTTCTCATTTTTCTATAATTACTAATAATCGTGACCATAATTGCCTAAATAGCTACAATTTTATTGCTACAATAAAATTTTGTAGCTAATCATAGGTTTTTGTCACGCAATAAAAGTTATTGTAACAATAGTGACATTTTAGCCACAATAAACTATATATTTGAACCAAAATATTGTAGCTAAATAAAAAAAAAATTGCTTCAAATTATTAAAAAAATAAAAATTGTGACAATAGTTAAATGATATAACCACATATTTTTTGTCATAATAAAATTTTATAGCTAATTATTAAGATTTTTCATGAGTTACAATTTATTGTAGTAATAGTAATCCTTTAGTTACAATTTATAGCTTTGGTCATGTTACCTTTATCAAAAAAAAGTAATCCTTTAGTCACAATAAATTATTTGAAATAAATTAGGGTGGCTAAATGAATATATTTGCTTCAAGTCACAAAAATTTGCTCAATAGTTAAATGATATAGTCATAAAATTTTCGCTAAAATAACATTTTGTAGCTAATTATTAATTTTTGTCACGTGTTAAATTTTGTTGTAGCAATAATGACCTTTTAGCCATGAAAAAGATTATTTAAAATAGAGAAAAGGCTAAAATACGCCTTCGAACTTTAAAAAAAGACTCATCTATTTAAGTTGTCAATAAATTATTCACAAGCATATATTCTTTTGATAATTCATCGCTAAATAGGATTAGTGACAAATTTTGTTGTTTAGTTACAAAATTTATTTGTTGTTAATTCCTATTTCTTTTAGTAGTATTGTTTGTCTTACAACTTATGGACCTTTTAAGGACAGTCTAAAGATCCTCTTTGAACAATTGAAAATCTTATGAGAAAACGTTAGACTACAAGCTAATTTTTTTTTAACATTTTTGCAAATATTTGGCAACAATCTAATGTTTTTTAAAAGGTTAAGCAGATATGCTCCTTTGATGAGAAATGCGAAACAAAAAAGAAAAAAAATGATCCCCCGTCTTTGAAGGCTCGAAGCATCCTCAGGTCATTGAGGATGGTCAAAGCAATGGAGTTTTCCGAGGGGAGCAGAGAATTCCACTCCTTGATTAGGCGGTTAGAGCCTTGATTATGAATAAGCCGTGAATTTGAATAGTCAAGAGTGAGGTTCTAACATAGAGTAGAATTGAACATGGAAGAGATTCATTGACAACAGTAAAAAGATGGGTGAATGCTTGAATTCTTGTTCTCACACTCGCTAATTTGGCTAAGTTTGTGCTGCACTTACAGCACTCCACAACGATTAGATCTGAGCCCAACATTATCCGAAGAAATAATTTTCAAAAGTTATATTTGCATAACCTTTGAATTTTCCTGTATAACTTTGAACTCCAACAGGAATGGACTTGGTTGCACCATGTAATTTCACAAACTATCTAGTCTTTGTATTCTCCACCCCCACCGGCCACCCCTTTTATTTTTGTAAATTAAAGAAATTTAAGTTATATAACAATATCCATAACAATGAAAAATATTTTACATGTCTATCGAAATACTTACTCAAGATATGACAATAACAAGATAGTTCAGGTGGTGAGAAATAAATTATCTGAAATCATATTAAGGTGACAAACAACCCCTCCCTCAACCAATATGGAAAAGTAATTGATACCCTATATCGAAAAAACTGTGTATCGAAGGAGTGAATAATATAACATGAGAATGTATTATTGAATTAATCAAGAATTAAAATGAGTTTAACGATAATACTATGTTAAGAAAATAAATATTGGACCCGAGTTAACTTCTAAAATTAACTCATAAAATGATAATTATCTATGACCACATAAGAAGACAAAGGACTCGTTGATAAGAGAGAATTGCTCAGATAGTAAGTAATCCCACCTTCAACCCTGACATTGTAGGTTGGAGTCACCAAGGGAGCAAATAAGGTGGGAGCTTGTAGGTATTCTATTTTGCTAATCAGCTCTGCATTTCCTCAACTTCACTCAAAAGATGAAGCAACAAATAAGAAGAAAGAGAGAAAGCCAGTGCCCAGTGACATTCCAACAAAGGTATCAATCCAGATATTTTCACTGAATCAAAATTCTTTTACCAATTATAGATATCTAGCATGTCTACAATATACACAGCACAGAATACAGAATTTTAAGCTTATAACCACTGCCTGCAGCCCTCCTCCCCGCCGACCCCTCCCCGAAAACAAACACACTAATAAAAAGACATTCACACTGCTCTAAGAATCTATAAACACAGGAAAAAATAATGTTTTTTTTTTTGTTTTTCTAAAACGTTTCTGAAACTAAAGGGCTTATAGATGCTTTACTTTCTTCATGGCAAATTCCTCCACAGATGTGCCTGTTTGGATCCTGTTAGTCTACATTTGTATGAATTTAGTCCCAACTGTTCGCATTGATATGCTAGTTCGTGCAATTGAAGCCACGGCAAATTGAAAGCCAGATTATAAGAACCAAAAACAGGATGATGCCAAACACAACCAACTTTATTTTCATATTCTGATACCACATCTTCCGCCGTATTTGAGTCCCCTTTGTCTTGAACTCAAGGGCCTGAAAGCAAACATACAAGGTTTGAAACATTTTACAGATGCTATTATAAGAAAATCATCAACCAAACTTACCGAATCACGCAGGTTCTCAGTCTTGCCAGATAGTATAGTCAAGTTTTCCCCTCTTTCAATGGCCTGGCATGTTTAAATTAAGTCAAATGAATAGAAGTTTAAATAGCTTGAGTTGTTGCTTTTTCGAACCGCATAAATGCTTATAAAAGCCTGAAGTTATTGCTGAAGTTTACAATCCCATTACGCTGACACACATGTCAAAGTTAACATCTGACTTGCAGATTGCAACAAAAGCACATTGCATCATCGCATCAGATATATTAAGTATGCCTGAATACCAGAATCAGGCAGGTCAACAACCCTAATTAATCGATTCTGGATTCAAGAAGCATTTACAAGTACGTAACTAGTCAATCTACCATGGTACAATAATGCTAAGCTATTAAAGGGAGTTGGCGTCCTTGCTAGCTGTAACTTGGATATCCTAGTTTCTGTAGGTCTATTTTTGTAAATCTGGAGCTTCAGCTTAATAAATAAAAATTGTCTAAGATGTCCTCCAAACTAGGTGGAAAGTCTATTTTTCATGCATATACTGAAAGAAATTTGGAACTTTCGCTTCTGAAATATTAATGTTACAGTTATTGGCATTATAAGCAGTCATTCATCTTTGTTCAAGTTACTGTTAACACACTTCATAGGTTGAATAGCTGAAATCTCATGGAACACAAAGTGAGGTCAGAGACCGAGCAAATCCATGAGATAACCGACTTAATAAGACAGAAATTATTGATGCATCACATAATAGATTAGTGCCCGCAGATACTTTTCTCTTTTTCTTTTTTTGTTTTACTTAATTTGTCCATCTCATTGGATGCATCGTGCAACCACAATCAGAGAGAATCACATGGTTATTACCTCATCAAACAACCACAACTCAATCACATGTCAAGACACTTCTCCTTGACAGTACATTGAAACTTAAAGAGGCTGGCAAACAACAGGGTTCATCAAAGATTAGATGCTTCTCAACCGAAAAGGTACAGATTCATAATTTTGACAGGATTTTGGGATTCATTAAGGAACATGGGATACTATGATAACCAGATGCTAAATCCAAAAAGATTACATCTATTATTAACCTATCAAAAAAAGAACAAAGATCAAATGTGATGACAAGTATCTAGTATGACATGAACGGTCCATACCAACTACATGACTTAAGATGTAATTGTTTCTGAACAAAGATCTGTTAGTCAAAAAGGAAGATCTTAAGCAAATGCAAATAAAAATAGGAGATAAGATAAATTCCATAATATAGACAAAAGATGTATTGTTGACCAGGAAGAGGCACCTAAATTAGGTGAAGTTCATGAATTTTAAGCTCAAATTGAGATGCGAACTCAATTCTCTGAAAGCAAAATGTTACTACCTTTTTTCTTCTTCGTAACGCCTTTTTTCCCTCTCTACCTCCACAAGGTAATGGTAATGCACACACTCTACCCTCACCAGAGCCCCTCCCTCCCCCCCAAACTTAGTGCGATTTCACTGGGTATGTTGTTGTTGTATAAAGCCAATTTTTATTTTACCTATGGAACTTTTAAAATTATTTTGGAACTGTCTATGG